TGATGGACTTTGAGCTTTGTCATTTCGTCACTCCAGCCTTCGAACTGCTTGCAAAAACATTATTCTTTCACACAAACATGTTAGTTAGGAGCAAAGTCAGAAGTCAAACTATACCAGATTATAGTCCAACAGGTTTATTTGACGTCAGAAGCTTTCAGACTGCTGTTCCTTCATCAGGTGACACCACCTGCAGAAGGAGCAGCTCTCTGAAAGTTTGTGATTTCAAATAAACCTGTTGGACTATAATCTGGTGTCATGTGACTTTGACTTTTTCCACTCCAGTCCATGATTGGCATTTCCATATCAAATTTAGCGGTAGGAATTGGCCATTCGCCATCAAGCCTGCATTCCAGTCTCCTTTTCCATGACACAGTCCTAGTTTATAAACTATTCAGAACTAATATTGTCCAGTTCAGGTAAAAGGTTAGCAACGCACATTTTTACTAAATTTCTCTTCCAAAACTCTTTCTCTTGCTGAGTGTTTCCAACAGTTTCTGTTTTGAGACTGGATTTCCAACATCTGCAGAATCTTGATTTTTGGTTCACTGTGGATCTGTCTGCTTAGACTGTCTCAATTAGGAATACATGGAGCTGTGAAAGAATGAGACATCAGTGACTGTCGCCCCATTCAACGAAAAAACTCACTGTCAGGTACTAAATCAGGGTACTTTTAATCTTTACATCTGGACTCTAATCCACAAATTTTGCCTGCAAAATAAAGGTGATTTTCCTCCCTTGGGTATGAAAGATACTAGTATCTGACCTGTGCACAGAAAAAATGTGATGATCCCTGCTCTGGGAACAGTAAAGATGCTGATCCCTGTGCTGGGGTCAGTAAAGATGCTGATCCCTGCCCTGGGGGCAATGAAGATGTTGATCCCTGCCCTAGGAGAGTAAAGGTGCTGATCCCCATCCTGGGGATGGTAAAGATGCTGGGAGCAATTGTAAGTGCAAAGAGTGCAAACGAGACTCAAAATCAGAAAGAAAAGTAAAGTACTGAGGATGCTGCAGATCAAAGTAAAACAGGAAATGGTGTGGAAACTCCTCAGATCTGGCATCTATAGAGACAAACACAGAATTAATGTTTCGAGTTCAAAGTCACTCAGAGTCAACCGAACTTGAAATGATGAATCTGCTTCTCATTTCAGAGAGGGTGTTCTTGGTTCACGAGGATAGACTAAAACAAGGCTGACTGTAAGAATCTGACATGGAGGTGAATCCTTTCTTGAGCATGCTGAATTGCTCACATTTAGTGTGAAAAGCTCTATAATTGAGAAAATTATACATAGATCTCTCGAGGCTGCATTGTGGCACAGTGGTCAGCACTGCTGCGTCACAGCACCGGGGATCTGGGTTTGATTCTAGCTTTGGGTGACTGTGTGGAGTTTGGACATTCTCCCTGTGTCTGCGTGGGTTTCCTCCAGGTGCTCTGGTTTCCTCCCACAGTCCAAAAATGTGCAAGTTAGGTAGATTGACTATGCTGAATTGCCCATAGTGTCTTGTGTGCAAAATGCAGGGATAGGGTAGGGTGTGAGACTGGGTGGGATGCTCTTTGGAGGGTTGGTGTGGACTCAATGGACTGAATGGCCATCTTCCACACTGCAGGGATTCTAAGATGATCTCGTTGGCCCTTTATTTGTTAGTTATGCCTGGTCAATATGTCTGCACACCTTTACAATTACGGATTCTATTGCTCTCCACAGACATGTTTCAACTTTTAATAGATATTTGTTTATTGGAAACAATATAATCTTTCATTTTGTGGATAACAATCAAAGGAAAGTTTTAAATCCAAACAAAAGACTGGGATGAGTCATGTACTATATCTCTGATGGCATTTTCCCAATCTGCTATGAAACCTGGTGACCATTGTGACTTTGTCCAGGGGGAAATGCAGTCTATTCAGATCTTTACCTGGTGTCCAGAGCAGTGACGGATCGCATGATGAATACATAAACCAAGACATTGTATGATTTCTAGTGTATATTTTCTGTTTAGTCTGCTGTCCATCACTCCCCAGAGACCCAGATAACATTCTGGGGACCTAGGTTTGAATCCCACCATTCCAGATGGTGGAATTTGAGGTAGAAAAAATATCTGGAAGTAAGAATCTAATGATGACCGTGAATGCATTGTCATTGTTGGAAAAGCCCATCTGTTCACCTATGTCCTTTAGGGAAGGAAACTGCCATTCTTATCCAGTGATGTCATCATCCCCTGAATGAATTTATTAAAAATTAATTTAAAAAACTCCTGCAAATACATTTATCTCTGTCTTAATTTATTTGATAACTGACAGTTCAAACTGGTTGATGGTCACTTTCACTTTTGATCAAGTTGTGGCCATTTCATGTTTGAAACAAAAAAAAAATGCATGAATGGAACCATAGTTGTTCTCGTAGGAACAATGCGTGCTCTGACATGTTTGAAAAAATACCTCATCTCACTTATGAACCAGATATCAAAATTGACCATATCCCAATGCTGTGTACCATGAAAGCGAAATTCTTCACCATCTTATCTACTTGTGTTGCTATTTCAGGGAGCTTTGGACTTGAACCTCCCAAACTGCATCACCTCAAACTAAACTTCAAATGCCATTTCTCTGCACAACATTCCAACTGATCTATGTCTCATTTGAACTTGCCCCCCTCTCACATTAAATGCATGCCCCTTAGTATTAGACATTTCCACTCTGGGAAAAAGGTTCTGACTGTCAATTCCAGCTATGCATCTCATAATTTTGTAGACTTCTATGAAGTCTTCCTCGGCCTCCACTGCTCCAGAGAAAACAACCCGAGTTTTCCTAATGTCTCCTTATAGCTCATACCCTGTAATCCAAGCAGCATCCCAGTAAACCTCTTCTGCACCCTCTCCGAAACCTCCATATCTTTCCCATAATGTGGTGACCAGAATTGAACACAATACTCTCAGAGTAGCCTAACTAAAGCCTTATAAATTTGCAACATTACATCTTTTACTCAGTATTCCTTTCTTCCTTGCACAAGTCTCTTCCTTGTCGAGTCCGTGAGCTTCTGCACTTTCCCACGCAGCTCTTTCATTTACAAACTTTACCTCACAACATTACCCAACCTGGAGTCCCAGCCCTACAGCTTCGCCATACACTGCACTCTCCCCACATCAAAACCATGATGGCAGTGAACAATGACGACTCGTACTTCCACAACAACCCACGTCCTTTGTCTCCCTCTGTCACTAATATGTTGACTTTCCCACTGATTCCACAATTAATGTCCACGCTTCCTCCAAGCAGGCTGTCCCCACAGCCCAGTAGTGACTTCCCCAGCTTCACCAGTACTGCAGTGCCCCCCGAACACCTTGAGAATTTCATCAAACTGACCGCTTATGGCAGGAACGGACAGGGTCAGCTTGGATTGATGAACATAATTCAGGCTCAGCAAATCTACTGGAGCATTTTGAGGATGTAACTAGTAGTGAGTGTGGCCACCTCTCTGTACTGTAGTGATACAGATTCCCTGATCCTGATTGCCCCAAATGGCTGACTGTGTCAAAGTCCCTGAGCTGATATCAAATGATTCCTTGGACATGTTGTGCCAGGATCTCCTGACTGAATCCTGTCTCCCTTGCCCTGACTGAGAACTGTTTCCCTGAGACTTTGAGACGTGACCATTTGGTTGAAACACATGCGTTTGTTGCCTCAGCTGCTGACCAGCCCTTGACTGTCTGCTGGTAACAACAATGATAAGCTGCCTGGCTTATGCCTGCGATAAACAACCAGGCAAGACAGGAGCACTGTGAAACATTAGGTTCTAGTTGAGACATCAAAGGGCAGAGATATTGTGCCAGTCCCTGAGCACAACACGTCTCAGGTGCTGAAAAGCTTATAGAGTTCTTAGAGCAAGAATGTACTTTGTGGACAGGCAATTCTGCATCTTGATGTTAGCCTTTTTATTTAACTCTGGCTCATTTCACGAGATCTGCAAATATCTATTGGTCTGGCTAATGTGAGAATTGGCTTTCGGAGTAATATGCCACTGACTTGGTCATTCGCAATTGTGTCCCACATCAGTGAATCGGTAATCTGATTAAACTCACAGGCCTTGACGTGAGAAAAATAAAGCAGTCACATGCACACCTGTTTGATTGGGTGCTCTTGCACTCAAATGAAAAATGTGCCTTGTATACGTCATATCCTTTCCTGGCTCACAGTGTTCCCAAAATCTCTCGTTCAATACATCCAAGTCATCGTCATCAAATTCAAAACTAGTGAATACTTCGATAGCTTTATCTTATTTTCTCTGAAATGCCATTTGCAATTAGGTAGTGTTGGCAGGCGATTTTCTTTTACTTCTGATGCCATGTGTGGATATTCGGGGATGGTGTTGGTGGGAAGGTGCGGCATGTACCAGGGATGAGGCGATAACATTCAGAGCAAGTGCTGAACATGCACAAAAGGAGAGATTAACAGTTACCTTGGAATAAGCATATTTGGAGAAAGTTGGGTGAAAGTACTGAGAGAAAGCACTTTGGCAGCATGGTGGCTCAGTGGTTAGCACTGCTGCCTCACAGTGCCAGGACCCGGGTTCAATTCCAGCCTTGGGCGACTGCCTGTGTGGAGTTTGCACATTCTCCCCGTGTCTGCGTGGGTTTCCTCCAGGTGCTCCGGTTTCCTCCCACAGTCCAAAGATGTGCAGGTTAGGTGGATTGGCCATGCTAAATTGACTGTAGTGTTCAGGGAGGGGTAGATTAGGTGGATTATAGGTCTGGCTGGGACGCTGTGAGGTTCGGTGTGGACTTGTTGGGCCGAAGGGCCTGTTTCCACACTGTAGGAATTCTATGATATGGTTCCAGAGCGTTGAGCAGATGCTGGAGAATCTGAGATAACAAGGTGTGGAGCTGGATGAATACAGCAGGCCAAGCAGCATCAGAGGAGCAGGAAGGCTGACATTTCAGGCCCAGACCCTTCTTCAGAAATGGTTCTTCAAGTTTTGATCAGGCTGTTTTTAAAATTGGTTAAATGAGACTGCACCATTCCTGGAAACACTGCAATACCAGGACGATGCATGGAGTGGATGAAGCAAGCTCCTATTCCAACTCCCTGCTCCAAAAATCAGTTTAATATACGGTCCTTAAGTAAAGGACATATCAGATATTAAAGCTGATAAGAACAGGAACTACACTTGGTCTGAGCCAATAGGCCGAGAAGCGATGCTGCTATAATGCTGGACTACCTTAGGTCCCAGTTACTTCCCATATTTTCCGTCAGCCTGACTGTGTGCAAAGACTTGTAAAGCACTGCTGACAGTTTTTACTTTTGTTCTAGTACTCCCGAGCTTCCTCACCAGGGCAAACAATCAGTTTACACCAGTGCTTTTTCATCATCTTTTCTGTAAAACTGCTTCGTAGTGAATGTAGATCATTGGAAATGTACGAATCAGATAAGGTAGGGCGGAGCTTCTTCAACCAGCTCCACGACTAGCGGAGGGTCAGTGAGATTGCAGCGACAATCGGTACAGAACTGCACACTCAGAAAATGACCCAGCACAGAGGAAGGTACTTCAGCCTGTCATTGTCTGCATCAGCTGTCTGTACAGGCAACTTCACCAGTCTCACCCGCCATGTAAATCTCTCATCATTCAACTCTCTCCTGAGGGCCACGAATGATTCTGCTTCCAGCGCCCTCTCAGGCAGTGCACAGCCGGCAGTAACCACTCGCTGAGGATGGTGGGTCTACCTCCCTCAATAAATGTGACTCTTCGTTACAAAAAAGGCGAATCACCACCCCCGTCCCCAAACCCATCCCACCCCGTCTATTTCTTTGGAATGTGCAACTGCCTGCAGTGTCAATGTGCCTGCAGTTGTTAAAAGGGTCTGATTTTGTGCTGTTCTATTCTGCGAACTAAACAAACTGAACTGTTAGCAATGCAAAAAATGCCTGCCTCTTCCCAAATCAAATCAAAGCAAATACTTGAAACAAATTCTAATTCTGCTCGAGTAATGTCACTGTCAGGAAGTACTGGGACACAATTATGAACAGAATTTCTTAGACTAATCCGTCTCTCCTGGAATATATGAACTCTGATCCCCAAACCACTCCAACATCCCCAACACCACTCCCCTCCCTTCATGGAAATGAACAGCATGATGGTGGATATTAAGTTCAGTACATTGAATAAGTCACGAATGGTTTAGCTTCGACTCCAAACATTCCAATTACAATCTGGTGATTTAGAATTGCAAATTAAGATTCAAGAGCCATAGAGATGTAAAGGATGGAAACAGACTGATTGCTGCCACTTGTCTATTCGAAACAGATATCCTAAATTATTTTAGTCCCATTTGCCAGCATTTGGCCCATATCCCTCTATAACCTTCCTATTCATTTACCAATCCTGATGCCTTTGAAGAGTTGCGATTGTACCACCTCCTCCATACATGCAGCACTACTCTCTACATGTAAAACTGCCCCTCAGGTCCCTTTTAAATCTTTCGCCTCTCAACTTAAATCCATGCTCTCAGGTTTGGATTCCTTTCCCTGAGGAAAAGATCTTGGCAATTCACCCTATCCAAGCCCCTCATGATTTTATAAACCTCTGTAAGGTCACGCCTCAGCCTACGATGTTCCAGGGAAAACAGCCCCAGCCTATTCAGCCTCCTCTGTCTATAGCTCAAACCATTCAATCCTAGCACCATCCTTGTAAATCTTTTTCTGAAACCTTTCAGTTTAACAACTTTCCTATAGCAGGGAGATTATAACTGAATGCAGTATTCTAAAAGTGGCAATGTTCTGTACATCTGCATCGTAATGCCCAAACTCCTATACTCAATACATTGATCAATAAAAGCAAGCATGCCAAATGCCTTCTTCGCCACCCTGTCTAACTGTGACTCCACTTTCAAGGAACTATGCATCTGCACCCCAATGTCTCTGTTTGGTGACACTCCCCAAGGCCCTACCATTAACTTATAAGTCCTGCCCTACTTTGCCTTACCAAATCGCAACACCTCACATTTATCTAAATTAAACTCTATCTGCCACTCCTCGGCCCATTGGCCCATCTGATCAAGGTCCCATTGTATTCTGAGATAACATTCTTCACTGTCCACGACAACATGAATTTTGGGGCCATCTGCAAACTTATTAACCATCCCTCCTATGCTTCCATCTAAATCATTCATATAAAATTATGTACAAGCAGTGTCCCAGCACCAATTCTTGTAACACACCACAGGTCACAGGTCTCCAGTCCAAAATATAACACTCTACCATCACTCTGTGCTTCCTACCTTCAAGCCAGTTTTGGATCCAAACCACTAGCTTCCCCTGGATTCCATGTGATCTAACCAGTCTACCATGAGGAACCTTTTCAAACACCTTTCTGAAGTCCATCCAAACAATGTTTACCTCCCTGCCTTCATCAATCTTCTTTGCCACCTCTGCAAAATACTCAAGTTAGTGGGACATGAATTACATCACACACAGACATGTTGACCATCCATAATCAGTCCGTGCCTTTCCTAATGCATGTAAATCCTCTCCCTGTGTCTGAAACAAACATGTCATAACCATGGCGAAATATTTCACCCCAAGGTGAGTTTTCAACCACATATCACCAAGACTGCCCACTTCCACCTTAGTGACATCACCCGACTCCTCCTCGTCTGCTCATCTACTACTGAAACTCTCATCCATTCCTTTGTTACCTCTGGACTTAACTATCCTTACACACTGCTCACTATCCTCTCACATTCCCCTCTCTGCACTTGTCTAACTTCCTCTGCCTCTGTTAATGAGTGTATGGGAGTTCTGTTTAGTGTCTTATTGTTCCTTACATTAACTCCATCTGAATGAGGTTTTTACCACTGCCCATTCTCCCCACCATGTGCTGCTGCCTTAGCGGTTTTAGCTTCCCGCACAAATGCCCACAATGCTGTAATGGAACAAGTTACAGGTTATTCACCAAGTGATGAAATCCTGAGGTCATCCTAAACTCTGCTGCCCGCGTGAGTATTCACACCAAGGTTTGTTCACCCACCACCCCCTGTGCTTGTGCAGCTAAATTTTAAACTTTTCATCATTCTGTTCAATCTCTTGATAGGTAGAGAGGAGACTATCTCTGTAACGTCTGCCAGCCTCCAGCTCTCTCAAGGGCAATTAGGGATGGCAAGTAAATGCTAACCCAGCCAGTGATGCCCACCCCCACCCCAAATATGAATTTTTAAAAATGCCCTGGCATTACCTCCAATTCCAACCTCCTGAGCATTCTCGATTTTAACTGTCCCACATTTGGTCCCCTTAATCTTTAGCTGCCAAGGCCACAAACTGTGAAATTTCCTCACTAATCCTCTCCCTTTCTCAACCTCAGTTTTGCACTTAATAACACTCCTTGAAAACGACACATTTGCCCATTAAACATTTTGTCACCTCCCTAATATCACGTTATGTGACTGGGGTCAAAAGTTGCATTATAACACGCCTGAGGAACAGCTTGGAAGTTTCCATTATTTGAAGGCCCTATATTGATATAAATTAATTGTCGTTGATTTGGACACGTATCACAATCCCTTCAGCACCACTTGGTGAATAATTCCTTACCCAACAGCATTGTGGGAACTACTCAGGGAAGATAATTGCTCACAGCAAATGGTCAGGCAATGTTCAGCCGTAAACACCTCATTTAGAGAATCAATGGCAGTAACAATAAAATACCTACTCAGAGACAGTAAGAACTTCCGATGCTGGAGTCAGTGATAACACAGTGTGCAGCTGGAGGAACACAGCAGGCTGGGCAGCATCAGAGGAGCAGGAAAGCTGACGTTTCGAGTTGGGACCCTTCTTCAGAATTTCTGAATAAAGTACCTCAGTCTGTTACACCCATTATTGGAGACAGAGGAGGTTAGAGAATGGCAGAGAGTTAATCAGGGAGAGCAGAGATGAACCAGAAGAATGGATGGTCACTGATTCAGGACTTTTATAAAGCAACTTTTGACACCAGTCACATAATGAGATATTAGATGAGTGATGAAATGGGTTGCACCAACACCAGAGTCAGATAACTGAGAACAGCACGTGAAGCAAAATGTGTACATTACTGGTTAAAGATACTGAAATAATTTCATTGTCTTCAACTTTAAAATCAAATGCTGGAGTCTGCAACTCAAAAGATATCAGAAGCACTGGGGTCAGAGGAAACCCACAGTTCAGGAAATGCCCAGGAATTAGGGTGATGTCACTGAGCAATTGCGCGTGTGTGATAACATCACCCACTTGAACACAGAGCATTCGGGTCTGCACAAACAGATGATTTGCACGAAGGATGTGAGGGTCTGTGGAATTCTGATGTCTCGTTTCATTCCTGTCTGCCTGATGTAATGTTTGTGGTAGTCGTTGCATGGTATTTTGTAAACCACATTGGTTCTGCACGAACGTCAGCCTTCCTACTCCTCTGATGCTGCTTGGTCTGCTGTGTTCATCCAGCTCTACACCTTGTTATCTCTTGGTTCTGCATGTTGTGGGAATGGGGTCTTTAATTCTTGTAAGTGTTTGTTGTAGAGTGGCTGTGGGCTTGCGGGCCACCATGATTCTGAGTGGTCTGAGGAGTCCTGGTGTCAGTTCCCATATGTTCTTGATGTATGGCAGTATGGCCAGTGTGTGAGGGCGTACTGTATCCTCCTGTTGTTGTCTGTTTAACATCGGTAACCTCACCAGTTCCCTCACACAAGGAAATAACCACTGCTGCAGAAGACCATATAATTCCAGTTCCCAGGCCCGGAATCAGAGAAACTCAGTGGCCCAACTGTGAAGATACAACCCGAAATGGGGATGGCAACGAGCGCGCGGAGCTACTCTGTGATTCCAGTGATACAATCGGTGAGCACACGGTCCTTCTGTGAGGGTATAGAGGTGCATGAAAGCAGGGTTAATGCTCCCGGTTCAGAGACCCTTCTTTAGAACTCTTCAGAATGAGGAATGTAACTGTTGGTTTAGTGTTTACCGAAAGTTCAGTCAAATCATGAGCCCGTCCACCTGAGTGAGTTTCTGGTCCGCTTGGCCCCTTTGACATTGTGTGTATGTCAATTATACATTGCTGTGTGTGTGTGCGCGTGTGTGTGTTTCTGCCTGTCACGTTCTGGGTGGTGTGACACAGTGGAATTGTACAGCCAGGAAGGCCAGTCAATAAGTGTGCTTCCATTCAGAAGCAAGAAGGAA